CAGAGGGCGCGTCAGGGGCTGGCAGTGCCATCTGTGGGGAGATGGCCACCACCTGAGCCCAGCAGTGCCCCAACCCTGCCATGGGAGTGAGCAGGGGGCCCCTGAGCCCAGCCTGGTGTCCAAAACAGTTCAAGAGGCTCAAAAAAGCCCGACATGAGGAAAAACAATGTCTCTATCAGCTCATGCAAGCAGCTAGGCCCTGACCTGGCGCTACCTGGTCCTGGCGCCACGTCCCAGGGCAGGAGGAAGTGGCCGCCATTTTGGGAGGTGGCCTCCCCTCAGGGGTGTGGTGCTGGGGCCTGGTGAGGCTCAGCCTCCCAGCAGGGCCAACTTCAACCCTTCCCGTGTGGGAACTGAGCAGGTAAAAGATTATTACTGTTCCCTTGGGTCAGCCCTGGGCTGTCTCCACAATGAGGGGTGTCAGTGTGGACCAGGGGCCATGGTGGTGGTACTGCACCCCATGCAGCCCCTCAGGATGGTGGAGGCAGCTCCCTGAGGGGCAAAGAGCGTTCATCCCCTGCTACCTCCAAAAAATGAGGCTTTGGCATTTAAACCGTTGCTTCTCCAAATGTGCCCCCAGGTGCTCCCAAACAAGCACAACCCCACAGCTTGCACTATCTAGGTCACCCCCTCCCTCTCCACAGCTCCATTTTTCCCCACCTCGCCCCAGCCCACCCTATGTACAACTCCATGCCAAACCCAGGGCGCCCTGTGTGAGAGACCATCCCCTGGGTAGGCAATGGGGTACAACGGAAGGGAGAAGAGACACAGGACCATGGTGGGCTGTGGGATCCCACTGGGGAACAGGGTGCCATAGAGCCTGTCTCCCTCACAGGGAGGCCGAGGGCGTCCCCAGCACTGCGATCCGAGAAATCTCACTGCTGAAGGAGCTGAAGCACCCCAACATAGTCAGGTAAGACCTGGATGAACCCTCCCTACCAGCATATTGATGAGCTCCTGCTCACCCCCATGGGGAGCTCTGGGTACAGGCAGCAGGAAGGGCCTTCCAGTCCTTCCCTGACTGCATAGAAAAGAGCAAAATACATGGGAAAATGGAGTAATCACTTGCACTTCCCTGGTTTGCACCAGTAACCCACAGTACTGCCTCTTTACTCCAGCAACACAGGCTGGTCCAAGCTGCTGCTGCCCCATACTAGATGCTGCTTTTGTATCTGCCTCTCTCTGCTCCAAAGGACTCACAGAGTGGAGGTATCTGTGGGAGGAGGGATGTTTGGGCAAAGGTCTGGAGAAGGTCTTCCCACACACTCTGTAAGAGGTTAGCATAGATTCCCACACAAAGGTAGTGAAAGAAGCGCTTGCACTTCTTTTGCAGGCTCCTGGATGTCATACACAGCCAGAAGAAGCTCTATCTGGTGTTTGAGTACCTGAATCAGGACCTGAAGAAATACATGGACTCATCCCGAACTGGAGAGTTTCCTTTAAGTTTGGCCAAGGTACAGTGTGGAAGGAGCACTAACAGGCAGGGCAGAGAGGGTATGTCCTTGCTGCCTTCTGCTGCACAGAGCCAGCCCTGAGCTGCTTTTACCCAGACTGCATCTGGAAGAGATTCACCCTTGGCTGGAGGCATTCAGCCTCTCAGATCTTAAACATTTCAAATGGGAAAACCTCCAAAGAAAGAGATTCCACCTGGCGCTATTGCTAAACACATTTGTTTCCCAGCTGTTCCCAGGCTCTTCAGCCCATCTCGCTGCAGAACAGACTGCTGTTAAGAGGGCAGCTGAGGGATCTGTTGCTAATTGCCTTTGTGCAGAGTAATGGATGGGTAGAAGGGACTGCCACTGCTTGGACTGGAGTCTCTCTATCCCCATGTGGGGTGGGAGCCATTTGTGTGCATCTCTGAGTAGTGGCCCGCAAGCCTGGTGTCGCCTTATAGCAAGGTCTTTTTTCCCATTTAGGTCTGTAAATGATCCAAAGTGTATTGGCTCATGTGATCCAGCCTTCGAAGTGATTTCATCGTGGCCTTGTCTGAAATCTCTTCTCTCCTTAGAACTACGTTTTCCAGCTGCTGCAGGGTGTGAGCTTCTGCCACTCGCACAGAGTCATCCACAGGGACTTGAAGCCGCAGAACTTGCTCATTAATGAAGCAGGAGCAATCAAGCTGGCTGATTTTGGATTGGCAAGAGCTTTTGGAGTCCCCCTGCGCACATACACTCATGAGGTATTGTTGAGACTCCCTGCCACCTGAAAGTGGGGCACATGATCCATATGAGTGAACAACAGCAGCATCACAAGTTACTCATCCATAGCTGAGGCACAGCTGTGCCCAGGCACCTACTCTTAACCTAACCCACAGCTAAGAGATTACCTCATGTCCCCACAAAATGTGCTGATGGCTTCTACCCTAGCCTGCCTGCAAGCTGGGTTCCCCCCTTCTCTGCATAGGCTATATTTATTTGCTTTGGAGTGCCCTATTGAAGAACGATCTGTTAATCCCCATCTTGCTATCACTAAGATGTCTGTTAATTCAGCATGGCCCTGGCACGCTCTGGTTTGTACAGTCACTGCATTACAGCTGAGAAGAGAGGATCCCATGCCTCTAGTTTCTAGCTTGTTTGTTGGTTCCTTACCAGGTGGTGACTCTGTGGTACCGAGCCCCTGAAATACTGCTGGGATGCAAATACTATTCAACCGCTGTGGATATCTGGAGCATCGGCTGCATCTTTGCAGAAATGGTAGATTATGGGTTTAAATGGTCTCTTTAATGAGCAGGGAGGCTGCAGCTGCAATGGGAAGTGAGGAAGGAGGGACAAGATGCAGAACATCTGTGATGCTGTGGTTCCACCTTGTGCTGGGCTGTGTGTTATGGAAAGACCACCTTGATGGTTAGCTGATCCTTATCTGTGGGCTCAGAAGGAAATCTGCCACCCTCAGGGGCCTGGCAGAAGGCAAAGAAGCCTCTGTAGTCTGGCTGCAATTCCAGGCATATGGAAGGGCGATGCCTGTCCTTGCAGAAGGGGTAACTTCAGTCTTGTTGCTGCAGCATTTTGATCCTGGGAGGAGATGACTCTCTTGCAGATGTCCCCACAGTAGGCTGCAGACAACTGACACTTCACAGCATGGCAGAGTGGATCTCCTAGGGGTCTGTACTCCACTTTGAAGAGCTCTTGTTACCCTGGCCATGTACCAGCACTATCCCTAGCTCCCAAAGTTCCCATGGTGCAGACCAGCAGAGCCTGGGCAGGGGAGGGAACTAGCCTGCAAGAGCGGGTGTTAGGAAATTGGAGATAAAGAGGGATAAGGGACTGGCTGAAAGAGGACAGCCTCAGGGGAGTACAGATCCATGGAGAGGAGCTGGTGACAAGCAGACAGACACCCGTGGCCTTCCCAGCCACCGCCTGGCAGAATTGCGGCATTGTAACTGCCCTGGTCTGTGCAGTTGTTTGTATCTGCTGGGATGAAGGTTGCTTGCAGCGGGAGATAGGGTGCACAGCTGACGGAAAGGTGGTAACTGGCTTTTCCCCCCCACCCCACCCCCCGCCCCAGGTGACCAGGAAGGCCCTGTTTCCAGGGGACTCTGAGATTGATCAGCTCTTCCGGATATTTCGCACCCTGGGCACTCCCACTGAGGCAACCTGGCCTGGGGTGACCCAGCTGCCTGACTACAAGGGAGACTTTCCCCGGTGGGCAAGAAAGGAGATGAAGGAAATTGTTCCCAGCTTAGATCGAGACGGTAGAGACTTACTGGTGGTGAGTGAGGGCTCAGAACAAGACCTGGGGACAGACTGGACCTTTTCAAGCTGGGTAAAGAATAGGGATATTTGGGACTGATCTACCCAGAAGTGCATTGGGTGATCTGGCTCTAATGCTCATCTCTGCCATTGCAGAAACACTGAATAATTGAATAGGGCTCAGTCCTGGCTCTGAAGTCGGGCTGTCAGTGCAGGTTCCTCTAGAAAACCACTGCATCAAGGGTCAAGAAACCCCTCTAGCGTGATCCCCTCAGTAACTTCAGCTGTGGGTTACTCCTGAAGCCCAGAGAGGGGAAAAGGCAGGACCAACATCTGCATCTGGGCCCAGCCATGTGCAGGTGCAATCAACCATTTGGTTTTTAAAAGCCTGAATCTGCTGGGTTTTTCTCTTGGCAGCAATTGCTCCTGTACGATCCCAGCAGGCGCATCTCAGCTAAGGCAGCCCTCAATCACCAGTACTTCTTCTGGAAAAGCCCTCAGAGCACTGAAGAACATCGTGCGCCGCAGAGACACTGCAGATGAGAAGACACAGCTCCCCCATGCACTTGTGCCTCCGGGTAGTGGTGCAGATCTGGGTTTGGGCATTTATCGGGGGGCTGGCTGGCACCCAGGGTCTCACTTCTCCTGAGGACCCTGGAGGGGGACATCCTCACATTTAGAGACTCAGCCTGTTGCTGGGGGAAAGTTTGGTTTCAGCCAGTAGAGCTGTTTTGAAGCAGTCATGTCAAAAGAGTGGGCATATTTATCAGCATAAAACACTGAAATGTAGATGGGAGAGCAGCTTTCAGACGTTTGTCCTAGCATTAGGCAGCGAGCTAAGGTGACACAGAGGGATTTCTGTCTCCAGCGCTGGAGCATCCCCAGCTCTGTCGGTTGCAGTTTCTGACACCAGGGCGTGCTGGAGCTCCACTTTGGGTAGGGGACCGCTTCTGTGCTCGGCCCTTTGCTGCTGTTACCAAAGACTGGGCTTGTCAGCACTAGACAAGTTGTTTAACCTGAGCTGGTTAACAGAGCTGACATTCTGCTGTCTCACAAGCTGATGAGCACTATCAGGTGTCTGATTTGTGCCTTAGCTGGGACCAAGAAGCCAAAAGCTCCAGCTAGCATAAAGCACTTGTTGCATATGGCTGGAAATAACAACAGCTAAACTGCTGGGTTTCCATCATCGGTCCAGATGTAATGCTGTTTCCTTTGCTTTATTGTCTTGGAAATTGTTTTGCTGTTCAAATGTTTGGAGAATTGTCACTAACTTTTGGTGTGGTTTTGACATTATTTTTTTTTTTCAGTACAGAAAAAAATAAAGGCTTGTTATTTGTTCAGAAACCTTGGTATTTATTGTTTGGCGTGGCCCATCAGGCTAGTGATGCAGGACAGTCTGGCTGGTCCTTTTTTCCCCACAGACCTCTTCTCCCTTCATCATCTCCTGCATGCTTTCTTTTATCCTCTCCAGCCCAGATCCTTGGCACACGCAGAGATGTGCTCTCGATTCCGCTGTGGAACGAGGGGCTGATAGTTCTGCTGCAGCCCAGTGCTGTCTCGGTATGGTGAGGTGGGCTTGCTTTCCATCAGAGGTTGCCACAAACAGTTCAGAGTTAGTTATATTCTACTTAAATACTGAAAAGACAGATTTTTAACTTAGGGAGGCCAAACTTCTGCACTCCTGTTTTTCACACACGTGCACACATGTGCCCTAATAATAATCGGGAACTTAAGAACTGATCTCAGTACAACCTGACATTTCTCCAAAGCTATCACATTCCTGGAGTCTCATGACAGATAAACGATGCGGCTGCACACACAGCTGCAGCACAAATCTCCCTGCCAGCCTACTAGATCCTAGAGAATCTGCACAGGGGGGAGAAACCCTAAGAGTCCCTCCTGAAAAAGCCCCCTCTCAGCCCAAGACCTGCCTGCCCACAGCCAAACTCCATTGTCCTTTGGCTTCCTCCATCATTCATTCCTTCTCCCCACCCAACACAAGGCAGCGGGTGGCTCTGCTTAATTCCCGACATCCAAAAGACCTCCGTCATCCCTACTATAGCAGATGTGCTCTCGATTCCGCTGTGGAACGAGGGGCTGATAGTTCTGCTGCAGCCCAGTGCTGTCTCGGTATGGTGAGGTGGGCTTGCTTTCCATCAGAGGTTGCCACAAACAGTTCAGAGTTAGTTATATTCTACTTAAATACTGAAAAGACAGATTTTTAACTTAGGGAGGCCAAACTTCTGCACTCCTGTTTTTCACACACGTGCACACATGTGCCCTAATAATAATCGGGAACTTAAGAACTGATCTCAGTACAACCTGACATTTCTCCAAAGCTATCACATTCCTGGAGTCTCATGACAGATAAACGATGCGGCTGCACACACAGCTGCAGCACAAATCTCCCTGCCAGCCTACTAGATCCTAGAGAATCTGCACAGGGGGGAGAAACCCTAAGAGTCCCTCCTGAAAAAGCCCCCTCTCAGCCCAAGACCTGCCTGCCCACAGCCAAACTCCATTGTCCTTTGGCTTCCTCCATCATTCATTCCTTCTCCCCACCCAACACAAGGCAGCGGGTGGCTCTGCTTAATTCCCGACATCCAAAAGACCTCCGTCATCCCTACTATAGCAGCCGCACCTCCTGAGAGATCCCCAACAGCGAAACCCTGGGACCTGTTGCTCACCTCCCTCCAGGCCCTGCCACGCCACCGGGCTGTACCTCCTCTGCAGGTTTAGAAGCCGCTGGGACCCGGGGAGCTTGCTTGCCTCTGCAATTTGCACAAATTAGGTTTTCTGGGGCGAGTGGGGGTTGCTTTGCTTTTGAAGCTGTTGTTAGGAGTCATGCTGGAGTGGCTGCCTGGAAAAAGCTGACCTGCTCGTGTTTGGGAGGGATGGTTTTCCAACTGAGGAGGGGAGAGCAGGCAGCTGGGGTCACGCAGCAGCCTCAAGAGCCACGTGGTAGGAAAACCAAAGCCCCGCTGTGCTCCTGCAGCATCTCATGGCCTCTGTATGATGACACCCAGCTCGCAGGGGCACGTTTCTTAGACATGGATGAATTCTGCTATGGGAATCATTTCCCTACCTTTGCATACCTGGTTTAAAGTCAAGTCATTTTGTATAGACAATGCTCCGTTGTTTGCTTTCCACAAACAAACGCTTGTGTTGTACCAGGTAAACTGTTTGCAGAAGAGTTGTTTTCTTTTTAAAAAGACCTGCATTAAGAAATAAATACCAAGGACATTCATCCAGTCCAGAAACATAAATAAAAATCCTACAGCTCATCTAGCCTAACAAAATGAGCAACAAGCTGAATTTCAAACATTTATGACCGAGTCCCGCTGCCAGCAAAGGGAACCAACAACAGCTGTGTCGAAATAAGCGCTCTGGGAACGCCACGACACAAGGCCATCATCCTGCACCCAAAAAGGGAGAAAAAGCACTACCCGGCTCCACAACTCTGCCAGGCAGCTGGGCTCTGGGGAAGCCCCGTGGCCGCATGGTGCTTCCTATGGATGCACCAACAGGACATGATGCAAGCTGCTTTCTGCAAGGACCACTTGATAGCAACAAAAAGGATTTGTTAGTGCATTTCTTTTTCAGAAATAAAAGGCAGACCAGCCCTTAAGGGAGACTGCCCAGCCAGCCAGACTGCTCAGATGCCTCTTAGCGCCTTCACCCAGCCCTGGATAAATACCTCCCACCACACAGTTAGGGAGCACTTTATCCAACATGATTAACTGACTGCCTAATTACCACAACTCCAAGTTCCTTAGTTACAGAGCATTCCCCCAAACTATTTAATCAGCACTTCAGGAAAGAGTCACCACGTGAACATCACACTGCTTTAAAAACAAGCACGGTTTTACCTCATTTGCAAGGGGAGCAGTCTTGACGAAGGCAGCCCGACAGCCCAGCACCCTGCCCCACGGAGCCGGGCAAGGGGAAGGCTCACAGCAAACTCACCTGCTGGGCAGAGCCGAGCTGCAGAAAAGGCAACAGCCCCATTGCCAATGGAGCCTCCCTGCTTTCAGCCAGCTGAGGGGAGCAAAGCCAAAGCACAGCAAGGCTGCTCCCAGCAGCTTTGAAGATCTGGGACCCAAGGACTGCTGGGAAACGGATCCAGGGCTCCTGAGTTGCACTGGGGTATGATCCTCACCTGGCTGTGCTCATGTGCTCCGAGGGCTGCTGAGCTTGTCCTGGCAGGAGGTCAGGCCAGGGTTTCTCTCCTCATGTGTCCCCTGGTCCATCACAGCCCAGCTCCAGCCCTTGCTGCTGGTCCAGAGCAGCCAGGAGGGGGATGCACAGTGCCCCATGGGCCAGCAGTGCTCTACCAAAAGGAAACAGGCTGGGAATGGATGCTCTAGGGCATGTGGAACAGTTTTCCCCATTGTAAACCAACAAATTACCCCGTATTGACCATGGCAGCCAAGATGGCCATGGACACCAGCCACAGCCCTTACAATAAACACAGACCCTGCAAAGCATGGGACAGAGCCTGGGCAGATCTTGGACTGGAAACTTGGTGTTTCCACAGCTGGACTCAGATTGTTAAATGCTGAGCACTGCCTACCAGCAGGAAGGTAGCAGGACCTGTGATGGTGCTGAGCTTGCCAGCATGGGAAGAATTTCTTCTTGGAGCCTGGACTTCAAATGCCAGCTAGGCTGTATGGAAATAGAGACTCTGTTGCTGCTTTGATAGGGATAGGGGGAGCAAACCTCTACCCTTACGGATTATTTTGGGGGTGTTGGATTTCCCAAGCAGCAGCAGATAAAAGAGCCCTTGAGAGAGGGGCAAGAGCAGCTCATGTCAATAGAAGGTCATTTTTCTCATCCCACAAAGCCAGGGGACTCTCCAGAATAGGGTAGAGACTAGGGAGGAACGTTTCACCTCTCATCTCAACAGGGACATGTGGGAATTAGGACTTACTCATTTCAGCAAGGGTTGAGCACTGGCAGTGACACAGAGGAGTGAAAGCTTGCCTAAAGAAATAGCAAGCGCAGATTTTAAGGTACTGCTGGGTGGATTCTGCAGCCAAGAGCTGTAGAAAGCAGTTTCACATCACTGTTGACTGCAAGCATCATCAATCTGCTACTGAAGATCATCCCTTCCCTTGCAACACATCTGCCTCTGCACAAGTACAGGACAAGCTCCCCACCTCATCTACTTAACAGGGTTTGGTTTGTTCTTGCTTGGGGCTTCGCTTCCTCTGCCAACAGCTCAGTAACCAACCCAAGTCCTTGTACAGCCAACACCTTCACTGCTCTGCAGCCAGAGAGGCCCCAGGGACAGGCAGTTGGGGGGGACAGGGGGGCTGCTCCACTCGGTAGCTGCCTGTGCTTAGCCTGGATCAAACATAACATGGAACTGCACCCTTTGGCAACCAAGTCCCTCTTTCAGAGGTGTCCAAATGACAAGGGGGCAAAGTCCCATTGGTTTTCAGTTTTAAAGACCAATATAAAAAAAATCTTTAACAATATGGACTCACATGCAGAAAGAAATGTAGGGGGTTCAGTGCTGTGAGATCAGGGGGAGCAAGAGCCTGCAAACCCTTTGTAGATTGGGCTGCAGGGCATAGGATTGCACAGGGGGAGGACAAGCCATGCCTTCGGCCACTTTGCAGCCTCAGCCTGCAGAGACGACACAGCCACAGAGATGCACTTTCTATGTTTATTGCATGCAGAAGAATCACCCAACCAGAAAACACTCTGTCTCTCCCCGCCTTCTGGGCATAACCACATTGTACCTACTGACAGTGGAGGTCTCGCAATCAACCCCCCTTTGCTGTCAGAGCAGCACCCAGGGGACTGTGGGGACCCCTGTGTCAGGCCCTTACACGCTCGTGATCACGCTTTCTTCCTTAAACAACCACGCTGCGTTGGGAAGCAGAGATAGCTAAGATAGAAGAATATGCAGCCCTAAATGCTAGGGCAATCATTCTTGTGATCGCTGCTGCCTCCATGGGGAGAAGTGTTTCGAAGGGATGAACTCCTGAAGGAACCAGATCCAGTACATGCCTGGACCCATTCAATGCCTGGACCCATTCAATGCCTGAATCGGGAGAGCTTGGGGGAGCGGCTCGCCTGGTGGTACCGCTGATATCCCTCGGATGTGGCTGGGAGCAGCAGGAGGCTGCTCAGCGAATCCTTCTGGCAGAGCGCCATGGCCTCCTTGTAATTTATCTTCTCTTTAGTGATGGGGTCAATGAGATCTTTTTCATAGTTGGACTCATCCTGGAGCCTGTTGGCCAAGTCGCCTGTTATCATCCCTGTCTGGGCAGCTTCCAGAACGGGGATGCGACCAGTTTTCTTGGGATCGATGAGCCCTCCAGTTAGATGCTGGACCTCCAGATAGGGGAAAGCGCTGTCCTTAGTAATCCACCCCTTCTGCACTGCTTCCCCCACAGACAGCCTTCGCTTTGTTACTGGGTCCTCAATCCCTGTGAAAGCTTTCTGAGCGTTGAGCAGTCTCTGCATGTAGGTCCTGTCAATCAGCCCCCTCTCGATCGCCTTGTGGACTGAGAAACGGTCCCGAGAAATGAGGTCTATGATGCCCCCCGTTGCAGCCTGGGCTTCCAGGAGCTTCTGAGCCGTCATGGGATCAAGCAGCTTCTTTGCAACAGCAGTCTTGATGTTGTACTTGGTTTCAGTGGTGGTGTCGTACACCCCGGCAATGGGGGATGTGTCATCACAGAAGCCCTTCTGCGATGCTGGGGGGAAGAAGCTTTGGGTTTGGGGGGTGGTGGGTGATGAGAGCGGGGATTTGGAGATGATGGAGCCAATCGAGAGGGATGGGGGAGGCTTGGATTCCCCAGCCACCAGCAAGGCGAATTCAGAGATGGGAATCTTGCCATCCCGGTACAGCTGGTACTCCTCCTTTGTGATCCTCCTCAGCCTTAGCGCATCATCGATGGAATACTGCTTCCCACTTTTCTTGTCAAGGAGAACTGACACTTCCCCATTTGGGCCCAGGGTGGTGACTTCCTCCCAGTCACACTCTAGCTCTTGCAGTTGGATGTACTGGCCTCTGTCTATGATACCTCTCTTATAGGCCTCATAAGGGGACATATCCTTCCCTGTCTCAGGGTCCAATATAGAGATCTTGGTGGAGAGGTTCGTCTCTCTCATCTGTGTTTCATGATTGATTTCTTCCCGGTTGACCTTTGACTGGAGATCTCGAATGAACCTCTCCTTGTTGTAGATCTGGTCCTTCTCCCTAAGGATGTCTGCCTCCAGCAGGGAAAACTCGTGTTCCAGCTGCTTCTTCTTCTGCCTGTCATTCTCAGTCCGTTGGTTGAGCAGTTTGGACTCCTCCCGAAGGAAGAGGACTTTCTGCTGCTTCTGCCTCTCTAGGTCCCGCAGGTCACTCTCCAAGTTGGCTCTCTCCTGGATGGCCAGGTTCCTGGCTTTCTGCAGCTCTGTCTCTTCACGAGCCCACGTCCTTTTCATGCCTTCAGCTCTCTCTATCTTCTCCCTGAGCCGCCGTACCTCCTCTTCTGCCTTTTGCTTGGCCCCTCTCTCCCTGTTCAGCAGCTCCCAGATGCGTGCACGTTCACTCTCCAGTGCTCTGTCCTTTTCCACTCGAATCACCTCCTTGTAGATGGTCTTCTCCTGGGATTTTGTTTTCTGCAGGACATCAACTTGCATTTGCAGGTTCTTGCATTCTCTCTGCAAGTTCAGCACCTCCATCTTCTCACGGTCCAGCTCCAAGCGCAGGTTGCTGGCAGACTGTTCGAGGACTGGATCCTTCTCCAACTTGACTACTTCTTCCATAATGATCTTTTCTTGCACTGGGGCTGGGCTCTCCTCCAGCTCCTTTATTCTCAAGGTAGTTTGTCTCATCTCCTTCTCCAGTGCAAGCCTCTTGTTTCGATCCTCCTGAAAGTTGAGCAACTTCTCTTGCTCTTCCACCAGTGCACGAACCTGTTGCACATCACGTTCCAGACGACGCCTGTTGCTCACCTCCTCATCTAGACTCCGTCTCAGCCTGTTGTGCTCATCTCGGAGCTTTGGATCCTTTTGAGTCAGTATCACCTCTTGGACAACTACCTTTTCCTCTGGCTTTCGCCTCTCCAGTAGCATGTATTTATTCTGCAAGTCGTAGATGGCATCCTCTGCAGCTCTCCTCTTTTGAGACATGTTACGCACCTCTTGACGGAGGCGATCAGCTTCTTTTTCCAAGAGTGGATCATTTTCATATCGGATAACTTCCTTGTTGACCAGCTTGGTTTCCACCTTCGATCTCTCCCTCTTCCATTCATCCCTTTCACCCTGCAGCCTAATGAGCTGCTCTTGGGTCCTGCCGTTGGTGTTCACTAGTTCATTGAGCTGTTGTTTCAGCCTGTCGATTTCTCTAAGAATCTCTGGACTCTTCTCATGTTTTACCACCTCCTCTATAACCTCCTTAAGTTCCACTACTGGTTTCTGTGACCTGAGGACACTGAGCTCTGCTAAGGCCTCTTCCACTTCACTGTCAATCTTTGTCCTTTTCAGAGTAACTTCCTGCAGCTCCCTTTTTAGGTGTGCAATTTGCCGCTCCGTTTCAGGATCCACCAGGAAAATCTCATTGACCCTTTCTTTAACCTCTATCCTTGGTTTTTGCTTCTCTGCAATACTGTACTGGTTCTGCAGCTCCCCCAGCTCACCTGTAAGCATCAGGTTCTTGCTCTTCTCTTCTTCAATCAGAGTTTTAAGCTTGGAAGACTCTCTCAATAACTCTGGGTCCTGCTCTACCTGTTTCACCTCCTTAACAATAATTTTGGGTTCTGCTGTTTCAATTAGTCTTTCCACTTCCTCAATCTTGTTCTTCACCTTCACTATTGCTTCTTCTGCAGACTTCCTCTTGAAGGATTCCTCATCAATTTGTAGCTGCAGGGTCCTAACGGACTTCAGCATTTCTGGGTTTTTCTCCAGTTTGATCAGCTCCTTCACCACCACTTTCTCTCTGATATTGGGCTGCTTTCGCTCCAGCATGTGCAGCTCTCTCTTACGCTCCTCAAGTTCGGAAGCAGCAGCCAAGCTTTCCTCCTTGAGTCGTTTGATCTCCTGACGAAGACTGGCTGCTTGGGTATCCAGGCTTGGATCTTTCTCAATTTTTGTGATCTCTTTGGTGAGGAGTTGGGCAGGAATGACCTTCTTCTCGTTCTCCATCTGGGCAAGCTTCTGGCTCATCACTTCAATGTCTTCTTGCAGGCTCTGCCTCTTTTTGCTTTCTTCTTCAATCTGCTGCACCATCTTAGACAGGTTGCTCTCCACCTGTGGGTCTCTATAATATTCTATCACCTCCTTTTCTTCTACTCTTTCAATGGGCTTCTGAGTCTTCAACATTAGCAGCTTGTTTCTGTGTTCCTCCAGGTCCTCTTCAATCTTGGCCACTTTCCTCCTTTCTTCCTCCAGCTGCGATTTCAACCCCTCAGATTCCCCGCTTGTTGTGGCTTTGTTTTCACATTGCTGGGTTTGTCCATGTACAGCTTCAATGTCCTCATGCACTTCCTTCTGCGAGGAAAAAAAAAAAAAAAAAAAAAAGATTTTTTTTTAAAAAAAAAAAAAGGGCAGAGAAA